CCTTCATTTTATTTCCTAAAGATGATTATTTAGTAAATACAAGGAAAATACAAACTTTATTCTGCCTGTTAAAGGGGTTAAAGAACCTCCACATAACATCAAATCAACAAACATCATTGTAAAAAGTTCTTCACCCTCGCACATCTTATTTGCAAAAGTAGTTCTATAAGAACTAACCTCATAAATGTTCTTTAGGGCAACAGTTCACAATCTGAAGTTGAGTCTCTACCTGATAAGTTTAAACTTCTTTTTATTTTATTAAATCTGCTACAACTATATCTTAAAAGTAGTGCTTGTTTAAAAATAGTAGATGTTATTAAATGTTATTAAAATGAGCAAAGTAATCGCAGTTCACATGTCCAGTTGACAAATTATGTCATCGAACTGGGCCACTGCATGTGCAGGTTAATGATAGCTGGAGAGAAAATGGACAAGGTTCTGGTAAGACATGGCTTCTTTTGTTAAATGATAATAATGACCTGGGCCTGAGGGTTGGGGAGAGGAGTAAACAAGGGTGAGGGTGGGGCTCAGTGGCACTTAGGCCAAATCCTATTTCACCCCTCGTCCCTACCACTTAGCCCTTGCCCCTCCATTTTGCACATTCACTCCTAGGGGTAGGGTGTCCCAATTTTGTTGAGATAGAGGGGTAGGGCGAAGTGTTGGGGCTACATGGCCCTCCAAACAGAGGTTTTTCAGAGGCACACTCCAAACGGAGTGTTATGACAAAAAAAAAGCAAGACGGCTGCACAGGCGACCAAAGAAACCCACAAATGTGAGTACTTTCTAAAGCTAACCATTGTACTATGCATAATAATATATGTATATGTATAATCGTCCTTTTCTTCATAATAATCATAAAAAAATCACTAATAGTACGCTAATGTGAAGATTTCAGCAACTGCCCCTTGTAACTCAGTTCCAAAGGGCAAGATGACACTCGAAAATAAGGGGTGGGGGTAAAAATGAGAAATGGGATTGGGCCTTACTATCCACAAAGGGACCTTAGACTTGCTTGAGAACTGCTGAATTAGGGAACCAAAAGTGGTTCTTTTATGAGAGAAAAAGGTCTTTATGATTTTTTCTTGAGGCGACTTGTTTTCTTTTTTGCAGATCAATCTATTCTTGGCCCAATAGGGCACCTTCTTCGTGTAGCTTTTAGTGAGCCAGTGAGGGATAGAAGAACAGAACATGCAATTGTGAATCTGGGTGAAAGTGTGTTGCACAGGGATGGTGGGAAGTGGGGTTGGTGGTGTCATTTAAGCCAATATAATTCATCATCATACAGTGCAGCCCCATTGTCCCTAGGCATTCTGCCCCACTTTATTTATGGCACTGTGGTGGGAGAATCCCAGCAAGGTGTAAATGGGACATGGCAGGAGGGACTGGCGCAGTAATAGCAGCATAATCAACACAGAGGCCGTTTTAATGGGAGCTGGCCAGGCAGCCTTGGCCTACTGTCCTTCAAACGGTTCAGTTCAGCTACAGCAGGGACTTCAAGGGAGCATTTAAAATGTGGGCCTAATGTAACGTAATGTATATGAAAATAAACTTGAGATCTAATACAGTTATTTGAAAGGTATTTAAAAAGCATAGCCACACATGTTGCATAATCAGAATTTTGAGTGCATCTGTTAGAGCTGAGTTCTAAAGGATAAAGCTGCCATGGACAACGATTGCTTTGGAAAAAAAAACTATTTACTGAAATGCATTCTTGCTGTGATTAACATCATGTAATTGTGACATCAAAACGTGATAAAAGACTAGACCAAAGCACTTAGCATTTCTAAACATAGGCAACATCTCTGAGATCTAAGCATACATCTGAACATATGTGGTATGGTCAGAGTTAGAAGACAAAGTGAAATATAAGTGAAAAGTGAATTATGGATTGTTGCATTAACCTCGTTAATGCACAGGAGAATGTAATGCTGTTCTGCTGATTATTGGCTAACGGCCATTGTTTATTGGTTCACATAAGAGTTTAATACCTTAACATAGCTACTACACAAAGGTTTGTACAGTTGATCATTTCATTCATCTGTTCTTTGTACCAAGGTTTGGATGTGTACTTTGCTGCATTTCAGGCTGTAGTATCAGAACTTGTGTGTAATGCTTGGATTCTGTTTTTCTTGTAGGCCTGAAATGCCTTGAGTCTCGTGTACACACTGTTCCCATGGCCAGTCCCTCTTTTTGTTTTTTGTTCAGTCATATCTTACATATCCTGTATACTTTCAGCATCCTCTGATGGACTATGGAGTTAATAACAACAAAAGACTGGTTCTATGCACAGTAAGGAAGTTTTTTTTACTCAACAGCAATGACAAATATGTCCAAATGGGTTAATATGTTATGATATTGAATCAAGGTTAATACAAACATTACACTCCTTATACAGTTCCTGAAAATCACTATAAGGAAGCTATGAATTTTCCCACCATTTAACTGTGGTAAGTCTCACATAATTCCTCAGCACTGGACTAAATTAGCTGTTGTAATGTAACTCTATATATTATGGATTGACAAAGTTGACAAAGATTAGCCATTTCAGACCCCCTAAACCAGTACTAGAGCAGCAGGAAGGTATTAGGTGGCTGTGGCAGTGAGGATAGCACATTCAGAGGCACAATAAATTTCCAAGGCTTCAGCCTTTCTTTATAAAACCACACAGAGATGATAAGAGTTGGGTTCAAAAACAGTTGAAACACATGCATAGTATGTACATCTGACAGTTTGAAAGGAAATACAGTGCTACTGCAGTTCATTCATGCTTTACGATCCTCATTTAGTTAATCAGCGGATTTTTTCTGATGGGTAACTAATGGGGCATTCGTCTAATTGGTAAATATTTATATATATGCTGAAGGTTGTTCATAATAGTCTTTAACAGAAGATTATATTAGACATAAAACCACAAAAAAGTTTCTCTTCTCAGAGGTTTTCTTCTCTTCAGTGCATGTGATTGTCCTTCTTGCGCTCGCTCTGGTTTGACTGACTCTGAAAGTCCAGCTCAGAGAAAACTGCAGAAAGTTACAGTCAGTCAGCGTCCCATTCAAACATAGATGAATAAACATTCACCTGCGAGTGAGAGCACTGAGAGAGCTCTCGATTGTTCAAAGGGGAAGTGAGATAAAAGAGATTTGGGGTCTTGTGCTCAGAAAAGTTAACCCTTCTACAATCATAGGTGGAATAGCTGAGTATTGGAGTGTCAACAGTGAACCCTACAGCAGTACTGTAACAATGGCTTTGCAGTATGTTTAGAGTGCATCCTTTAGATGTTTTTTTTTCCTTTTCCTTGTGAGTGTTTCTGTGCTCACATAGGCTGGAGAATGCTGGCCACTGGTCAGACTGGAAAGGTAAACTGGTAAACACATTCAAGAGTCGCATATCAACTCAAAGAAGATCCACTTATTAGCCACAATACTAATACAGGGTCAGCCACATTCAGTGCAACAAGATAACTTGCATGTGCATGAATACTACAATTTTCCATTCCTCATAGACAAATCCAGTCTGTCACTGGTAATGCTGTACTTTAAGGTGAGGTACATTCAATACAGCTAAAATGCCCTGTAACAAACCTACAGGCTCTGATTTATAAGTGGTTAAAAACTTACATGCATTACAAATATTTTACTGTAATTATCTGTAAAAGACTGATATACATAAAGTAGGTTTATTATTATATAAACATTTAATCCTATCATACCAATTGTTAATGACTCAGTATAATTTTCCTGAACATAATGAGGAATAAGGATACTTGGATTTTTCCAGTCATTGCTTTGTAGTTGTTACACATACCAGCCCTAGATAGACACATTAATGTTTATGGCCACTTTAAATAAAGTAGGAGTATTTATGGCTATTGTCATTTGACAGCATATAAGAAAACATGTTTATACAATGTAAACTATCATAAGTTAGACATATCTGATTGGATAGCTGGATGATATATCATTACACTTTTTATAAGCAACTTAAAGTAAAATGTTACCACTTCACCTTGTGAGTTTTATTGTCATTAAAGGGGACGTCCACTTGATTTTACTCTTGATTCACATCAAATCACTGCAGGACACATCATTACCTGTGTCATGATGTGGTGTTTCATAAAGGCTATGAGAGATTTTCATCGCTGTCCAAAAAAAAAGTATCTCCAATTTTTTTTTCATTTTTTTTGTTTTCTTAAATCGTTCAGCACAGCAGTTCGCCTTTACATTGTGTAAAAGTTTCAGGCTGAATGGACCAATAGAAAAGCTCCAAAAATTACATTTAAAAGTAAATAGTAAAGAACTTTTTGCCCTTTGTGAAGTTGCTGGGTATATTTATTTATTTATTTATCTTTTGGACAGCAATGTTATCTTCCTCTGGGTTTTCAATAAGAACACACATCCTACCAAAAGCTCTGGGGAAAATACTGATGTGGTATTATTTGAACAAAAAAAATCTTTAAACATGGTCTAGAAACAAGTGGACATCTTTCATTTGTCGAAAATAATTTGCATCAGCATCACAATTTATCACAGTTTCTGCAACAAGTAGAGCTGAGATTATGGAGACCAGTTAACATGTATTTTATGAACTTGTGCTCACTCTGAAAACTAAAAAACACATTAACAGTAGGTGTTTGTCTTGCTGAGCTATCTGGAAAAGGCTCGTTTTGCCTTTTGTAGTGCAAAAAGAGGAATATAAAAAAAAATAACAAGATAGAAATGAACATCTTTTAGTCCTTTATAGATGTGCACTTGATAATAGAAGTGGTTACGTTTATAAGTGCGCATGGCATTTTAATGGAGAAATCAACTTATTGCTTCATAACGGATACTGACATAGTAGAGGACAGGCTGAATGCTACTGCTGTAGTGAAGCTGTTAATACTGAATCAGGGTTTAAGAATGAAGTGGTGCGCCCCTGTCAGTACAGGTGGAGAAAAACATGACTGAAGCCCTCTTCACATTCTGAGTGCGAATTAGAGTGTAGAGTGTGAGGGTGTTGTACTGCTACATGGGGCAAACTTTGTTCTCGGGGATAGGCAGCTGGGCGTAGGAGCTACAATCACTCTGCTGCTCATCAGACTTTTGCGGGGCGCTCCTGGCAATTGGAATTCGGGCCGCTATGGCCGACATCTCTCCCGTGTTGCTCTCGCCGGTCATGCCTGCACGCTCTGTGGTCTGGTTCACCTCCACCATGGTGCTATCACTGCAGCTGAACAGCAGGATGAGGCACTTTCTGAACTGTGGACACATTGCAGGAATTTCAAAAATGAGTTATTTTATCGAGCTATGCTAAGGCTACATACATAGATGTACATACATACATCTGCAAAATGGTAACTTCTCAGGAGACAGAAAAAAAGTTTTAGTATTAACATCATTAACAATGTAATGAGATTTTATTGGTATATGGTCCATAGTAATGGACCGAATCTACTGGGCTACTCATCATAAAGTGTTGAGTTATGAGGTTTTGAGAGCTTTTGGTGTGATAGCAATGATAAGCACATTCCCTGAAATGGCTGCATACATTAAAGTAATTCATGTGAGAACAGAAAGTGTCAGGATCCTTGCTGTATTTTTACTTTATTGCTTATTATATGACACTTTATACATCGTCTACCATCTAATAAAAGACATCCCACCTGAACCCGAGATCCCCAAGTGCACAGGTGAGCAGAGATCCCAATGAATTGAACAGTTATATCATGTAATTTTACTTACTTGTATGGTAGCAAGATGAGGGGACATTAGCTTTGCTTTCAGATCTTTAGAAAGTAAGTATGCTTGTTGTATAATAGTTCTAACCTTCCTACTGGGCATCTATCTTTCTACATCAATGGTTCTCAAGGCCCTCCAGAGGGTCTAGGTTTTTGCTTTATCCTAGCAACCAACACACCTCAACACTAAATACCTGGTACAGGTGCACTTGAAGCTAGTCAGAGCAAACACCGTATGAAGGGTTCCAAAACCTGGTTTGAGAAGCACTGTCCTATGCAGTTTTCACAACTGACTTGACAAATGAAAGTCTTAGTTGACTTTAATTACCTTGGATTTGGATTTTGGAATTTGAGGGAATCTCAGTACCAGACATATTGAGCACAGATATATGGTTGATGGAAAACTTTAATTTGAATCAAGTGATATCTAGCTGGTCCTGATGGCTTCTACCACGTGTCTGTTAGTTCTACCTAACCTTTACAACTACAGAGTTCATCAGTCAAAATAAATATGCAAGTGGTGTTAGCAAGCTTGAGAGTTCAACAGTCATGACAAAGCACAGATGACGATGAAAATGAAAGGATTCATTTGAGTTTTTTAGTCAAGTCAGTTGAAGGAGATTTTGTTTAAGGCTGGTCATTTCCAAATGTTCTGTGTATCCAGATAATCTTGTTTTACCTGTGCTTTAACCCCTTAAAATCCCAGGCTTATTACATACTAATGCTTAATATTCAGTAACCACAGGGACTTCAATGCAAACTAGTTGAGCTATTCTTAGTTTACAGAAGTGTATAGAAATGACCTTGGCCATTTAAGGGGTTAAGGCTATTCCAGGATAAGGTTTGTGACAACTGTTGTGCAAGTTTTTGTTGCAATTCTAGGTCCTGGGCAGAATATAGAGCATAGTCCCCCAAGCAATATGTATCAAATCTGAGGAAACTGGAACTTTAGCCCCTAGTGTATGAAACATATTCTTTATTATTTATTTAGCCTATATTTAAGCACACACACAAGGAAACGCACAAAACTGTATAAGAGAAATAACAATCATATTCTACCTAGGCCTGCATTTAAAAAACATTTGTGGATCCATGTTTTGATTGTGCATTAAAAAAAAAATCTTTGTTAATATGCACCCAGAATCATTTTAGACTGTGCACTCACTTTTTAATTTTCAGGATTTTGGGATGTGCCATTTAGTGCATCAGCACAATGAGCTGGGGGAGGTGGGATCAGTGTTAAGTGTTACCTACTTAATAGGGGTAAACAAATTCCACGCAGGTTCAGTCAATCAGAATGAGCTAATTAAAGTAATCATTACTTGTTTCCACATTACCCAACCTCAAAGCTGACCTTGTGATGGTGTTTAGTTTTCATTAGCTTTGCATGCAGACTTACACCTACAAAAGCTTCCAACTGAAGCCAAAAATCAAAGCCACTTTTCATTACTTTAGCTTTTATGTCAGGTCAGAATGCAGGTCAACAGAAAGAGAATAGTTCTTTGTACTTGAAAAAGTCGTACATCATCACTTTCTGAACAAATTCTGATATCACCAAAACTGTGACTTTATATGAGAAAGAGAAAATGTTCTTAACTTTTAATGTGAGGTAATGTAACATGACTTGTTTCTTATCTGTTGGTCCCAGAATTAAAAAAAATATATACAATTCCAAAAAAAGTTGGGACACTGTGTAATATGTAAATAAATGTAAATAAAAAAACAGAATGCAATGATTCGCAAATGTCATAGACCTACATTTTATTCACAATAGAACATAGAACACATATCAGATGTTGAAAGTGAGACATTTTTTCCATTTCATTAAAAACATTAACTCATTTAGAACTTGGTGGCAGCAACGCATCTCAAAAAAGTAAGTTTTACTAATAAAAAACAGCTGGAGGAGCAATTTGCAACTAACTCATATGACTGGGTATAAAAAATAGCATTTTAGAGAGGCTGTGTCTCTCAGAAGCAAAGATGGGCAGAGGTTCACCAATCTGCGAAAAACTGTGTCTAAAAATTGTGGAACAACTTCAGAAAAATGTTCCTCAATGTAAAATTGCGAAGACTTTGGATATCCCACCATCTACAGTACATAATATCATCAAAAGATTCAGATAATCTGGAGAAATCCCTGAACACAAGGGACAAGGCCGACGGGCAATATTGGATGCTTGTGATCTTTGGGCCCTCCAGCGGCACTACATTAAAAACAGACATGAATCTATACTCAGAATCAGGAACACTTCCAAAAATGATTGTGAAAACAGTGTACCATGCAATCCACAAATGCAAGTTAAAGCTGTGTCATGCAAAGAAGAAGCCACATGTCAACACGATCCAGAAACACCGCTGTTTTCTCTGGGCCAGAGCTCATTTAAAATGGACTGAGGCAAAATGGAAAACTGTTCTGTGGTCAGATGAATCAAAATTTGTAATTCTTTTTAGAAACCACGGACGCTGTGTCCTGCGGACTCAAGAGGAGAGGGACCATCCATTGTTATCAGCGTACAGTTCAAAAGCCTGCATCTCTGATGGTATGGGATTGCATTAATGACTATTGCATGGGCAGCTTACACATCTGGAAAGGCACTAACAGTATATAGAGGTTTTAGAACAACATATGCTCCCATCCAGACAACGTCTCTTTCAGGGAAGGCCTTGCATATTTCAGCAAGACAATGCTAAACCACATACTGCATCCATCACAACAGCATGGCTTCGCAGAACAAGAGTCCAGGTGCTGAACTGGCCTGCCTGCAGTCCAGAACTTTCAGCAATAGAAAACATTTGACGCATCATGAAATGAAAAATCCAGCAAAGAAGACCCAGGACTGTTGAGCAGCTAGAATCCTACATCAGACAAGAATGGGACAACATTCCTCTCCCAAAACTCCAGTAATTGGTCTCCTCAATTCCCAGATATTTACAGACTGTTGTTAAGAGAAGAGGTGATGCTACACAATGGTAGACATGGCCCTGTCCCAACTTTTATGAGATTTGTTGCTGCCATCAAGTTCTAAATGAGTTCATATTTTTCATGAAATGGTAAAATGTCTCACTTTCAGCATCTGATATGTGTTTCATGTTCTATTTTGAATAAAATATGGGTCTATGAGATTTGCAAATCGTTGCATTCTGTTTTTATTTACATGTATTTACATTTTACACAGTGTCCCAACTTTTTTGGAATTGGGGTTGTAAATAAATTCAAGTAATTTAGTACAATTTGTTTTGCATAATCCTGAGATAAATATAACAGGTGTTGCCTGTGTAGAATTACCATAGAATTATATAACTCAGGAGATAAAATACGTGATAGCACATACTTGTTCAAAATGTGTTAAGCCTTCTCAAGTTCCGAGCAAGTATTATTGTAAGGAGTAAAGACTGAGTGCTTATATTCAGAACCGTATTATTGGTGTTAATTTAATAGAATCGTTGTCATGTGTAGGCTAAATAACGTATTACCTATTCTGTTCTTAAAAAATCATGCGTGACTTAAAAATCCATGGATGGATGGGTGCATGTCAGTTTGCATGCCTGTTAAAATAGACTAAACTAAACTATGAGGGTCAAGACAAAGCGCCTAGCATCTAGGCTCTATCTTCATCTCTGTGTCAGAGTTTAGCACCGCTGGGCTCTAACGGCAAAGGAGAACATACATCATCCATTATGCAAGTATGCTAGATGGGGGGAGCGCAAGGTGAAAATGAATAAAGAATAATAAACAAAGTCAAAGTGAGAAGAGGACATACAAAACATGGAACTTCTATCAGTACAGACAGGGGCTCAAGGCAAGCCAAGTGCCTCCCCCCGGTGGCGTCAGTGTTAGTCTGTCCCTGATCTGTCAGCACTATAGTGTCCACCTGATGTGGTGGAACACAATTAATGGTGAATCCAGAGCATGAGAAGGAATTGGTTACGTGTCTGAATCTACTAAAACCAGAATTACAACCAACATGCATATTTTTCTGTGAAAGCAAAATAGTTTGCAGTGCTCAGATCTCAAATAGTTTATTGTGCTTGTGTCATGACAGCAGTGTTGCATTAAGTACTGAAAGTTCAGTGCTTATTTAATTACATAGTAAACAAATCAAAACTCTAGTAGCTTTCCATACTTTTACTTTTTTAAATAGGCTAATGCTACTTTGACACTGTATTCTCCACATGATGTGTATAAAACTGGCACACAAAACTAAAAGGTCAGTTTATGGGTGTGAGCATGGAAGAATGCAAAATGTGCTGCTCTACTCATGCATATGCATTTGAGGGAGAATGCACAAAACGTGGAAGGATCACATTGAATTTTGAATATTTACGTTATATACACATATACATTATATATTTACATTTTTCTTGTAATTTATTTATTATTTCTTGAAGTCCACATTAGCATGGATTTATGTGTCAAAAACACTGTCCTTCCAAAGAGACAGATTTAACTTGAATTTAAACCCAGTCATACCCAGACTAACAGTCATAACATAGTGATCCTAATAGTCTGACTTTTGCCTGTCAAGTTAAAGAACTACTTCAATAATTTATACACTTTATATATGCATAAGTGTTGTTCTCTGATGGAAAATTGGGCATTTTGTACCAACAGGAAAGAGCAGGTCAAATATAAGGTCAAGACTTTTAAGAATCATGAATTTTTTAATGAAAGAGCAAGTAGACGTTATACAGTGTACATCCTTCTATACCAATATACATTTCAGACAGAGGGAATTTCCTCCAGACCCAGCTAAAAATGTCTGCCTTTTTCAAGGACATTTCTGGATATTTTTGTCCCTTGATGTGATCTCAGCTTTTATAAATACATTAACCCATTTATCAGTGGGGATCCTTAACTGGGGCAATCTTAACCACATGAAGCCTTCCTGCTGCAGCCCAAGATTTATGTACAGAAAAGGAACCAATAACGACTTGTAATAAATATGACACATATAATAAAGCTACAAAACCAAAATGTTAAAATCAATCTGAAAGACCAATGGACATTTTTTTACTTTGTTAGTCCGTGTCATATAAAGCGCAATCAATTGTATCATATCTGCCAATGTCTCTGAATCTTTGATTAAAGTGTAGAGACTTTTGCCCACCCCTAAACACCCCCTGACCTTTAATTGCCCCACGGTGTTCCAGCAGTATCTTATCACTGAGTGAAAACACCTATCATCACCTCCGTTCCCTGCTGCACACACATTTGTTGGCAAACAACCTCCTTTCTTCTCGTCACTTTACTCTTATCACTTTCAGTTTTTGGAGTGGTTGTAAAATAATCACTTATTAGTTATTTCAGCTTGTTTATGCTGACAACTCTTATTCATGTTAACATGAGTGAGGCAGTTCAAATATCCAGTGGTATCTGTGCTGCTTTCTTACGTTTTCTGCCTTGTGAAGCTGTGAGGCGCGTCAGCTGATAATGGTGCGATGTGCACAGACACACACACAGTCCTTCTCTTGCTCACACATGTTAGGTAGTTACACTCATACAGTTTATTTTAATAATAACCTGACTTATTTTGTCCTGAAGTCTTTTTCTCTTACTTTTGCCATGAAAGTGTAAGAAGAGCAAATCTGTGTGGCTGCTAAAGGGCTAGACTGCTAAGCAGCACTTCGCCTTGTCTATGTGTAAATAAGTAAAAGATAAAATACATATTAAAATCAAACTTTAAAGATTGATTCTGCTGACCGTCTGACTCCATGTTCATTTTGGATCAATCAAATGCTGAAAAATAAAATCATGTCCCGCCCACAGTTATTACATGGCTATGTGCATCTACACTCTCAACAATAAAGACTCCTAAAGGAGTTTTGGTTTGGATGTGTGGTATTGTGAAAAATAATTGCATAAATAAAATGGTAGAGAACCTTTTCATTATGTGGAGGTTCTTTAAACACTAAAAAGCACGTCATTTAGAAAAATGATTCAAAGACTCATCCGTTGATAAATTCTTTAGGGATGGCAGTGGTTCTTAAACCAACCCTTATGGCCCCCATGCTCTATCCTTATGTGTTGGGATATAGAAAAAAGAGTGGCCTGTCTGTGGCCCTGAAGACCAGTTTTAGAAGCACTATTCTATGGAATTACTCCAAAGGACCCTTTTTCTTATATTTTACTTTATTTTTTAGAGTGCACAAAAGTGCCAAGTTTAAAAGATATCATGAACACCACTCACAAGCATAGGGCGTAGTGTTAGACTTTAGGGAAACGCTGCCAGCTTGGCTTACTTACTGACTCCAGAGAAGCCAAAAGGAACCCTTTGAGAAGGTGGAGTTACTAGGTTGGAAAAATCAAGATTGTCAGTTTATGGGAAATGTTTCTCTCCCAGAGTCTCTACTGTGTATTTTGCGTGTGATTGACATTGAGGTTCTGGGTTTTGACGGTTCTGAGACATATGACTGGTTTCCAGTTACATCTTAACTGCTTCTCAGACAACAGGCAGCACACATGGCAACTGAGGCTAGGAAAGAATGGATAAGTTGACCAAAACTAACAGGCTATGCTAAGATGTTACTTTAGAAAAATGAATCTCACAGCGAGAGCAGCAGAGGAAAATAGGTGTTATCCGGTCGGGTGAGTTGATGTATTTTGTACAACATCCTACCCGCACCATTGTACACCTCTATTTTATTCATAAGCCATGTTTTATTAAAGAAGAGGCTAGCGTCTAACAAGAACAGTCGCAAAATAAAAAATAAATAAAAACCTGTCGGCCTGGGTTCCCTCAGAATGTGATCTCACACTAACATGCTGTGATGTCTCTAAGCCTGCTGTCAGACAGCAGCTGGATATCAGCCTCAGTACGACTAGACTCAGCTTTCAATAGTCTGCAGCTATTGACTGGCTACCACGATCCTGATCTGATCCTTATTGGTATTATTATTACCATCTGTGTATTTGTAAAATACTAATTTATTGATGCAAATTGTTGTTGATGCATGGATTTGTACTGTGATTGCTATTTAAATACTGAACCATAATTCTATTCCATTACACCAGAGCAATGTGGTGTGAAAATGCACAGTAAAATCCCCAGTGCTGAATAAACTCTTACAGTAGTGAACAAACACCTATGGTGTTCATTTGGAAGCAATTCATCACTGTAAGAGTAAACCCTTTAGAAGTCCAGTTCTTGCAGGTTATAACTTTAGACTAATGTAATTTGATAGTAATTATTTCTCACTCATAGCTTATTGAAAAAAAGCTCAGAAATTGCGTCAATACCACAGTCAATACCTCATTTCAGTCAATGCTACATTTATGTAGTAAAAGTGGCAATATTTTGTAATAACTTAAATTTGATAACTTATTGTTGTGCATAGCGCTGCTGTCAGAACAAAACCTCATATCTCCATTTTTAGTCATTTTGTACTATTTTACAGAATTTGAAAACACTAGCTGACATTTTGCAATGCGCCAAAATTTCATAACCAACAGAAATGCTCCAAATGTGCTTGGAAAAAAAATTTAGTTCCACTGACTTGCATTCAAAGTTTGACTTCCATTCAATGTTTTTTCCTTCTCCTGTAAAATTACCATTTTAGAGATATGAGGTTTTGTTCTGATAGCAGCAATATAGTCCTTTTTGCTATCATTTTCTCATGTCTTGACACTGAAACAGATGGAAGCGCATAACTTAATATACTATGTAGTTAATTATGCAATTGAAATGGCAGTAAATACACTAGCCTGCTTAGGGTTCATTCCGTACTAGGTACTTTGATGATTTTTCTGTGTATATTTTGTTCAAGAAAATTCTGAAATGTTAAGCTTCAACCTTACCTGTTTGTTCATAAAGACGTAGATGACAGGGTTGTAGACCGCAGCAGTTTTGGCAAAGAAGGCAGGAACAGCAGCCAGTCTGGGGTCTAAATAGATGGTGGGATGCGCAGTAACAGTGATGGAAAAAATGGCGTATGGGGTCCAGGCCACCATAAAGGCCACAATCATCACAACCACCATACGAGACACCTGCCGCTCAGGTTTCCTCGCATTCCCCAACCTGCCATGGGTGTTGGACACCTGCACAGAGATACTGCTATGTGTGTCTCGAAAACGTACACAAGAAACAGACTTTAATTTATGACATGACAGCCTTTTCCATTAGACGGCAAACACATTGATCTTTTAAAGGCAGTAAAAATCCTATCTAAACCTGTTCTGCCATTAGGATTTGTGAACACTGTTATCATGAAAGTGGTACACTGTAGTATATCACTATTATCACTTCCCAGTCTTTTTTCTCAGATGGAGTACAGTATATTACTGTTGTCATTCACTTTAATATTTTTTTAATATGTAATAGCATGTGTTAACCTTAGATAACATATTTCACAGTGCAGATTCCTAAAGCAGACAGCATATGTTGAAAAGTCTCCCAACGCACCAGACCAACCTTCCTGAGCTTCCTCAGGAGCTTGCCGTAGCAGACGATGATGACACCCAGAGGCATGACGAAACAAGTGATGAAGAACGTGATGATGTAGGTGTGGTCGTAAGGGTCTCCAGAGTACCTGTTGAGGGACAGGTCAATCAACGTAAAAAGTAGGAAGGCAAGAAGTAAGACTTTTGAGATTTATTTTGATTTTTACATTCACAAGATAATGGACATGTAATGGTTTGAAGACTACAACCTCAAAAACAAAGGTGCTGAAAAGGTTTCTTTGGAATGAATCACTTTTTAGAATTTCAGTAGGATTTCAAAACAGCGGCTATTCTAAACAAATCCAGGATGTGTATCAGGAGCAGTTATGAAGTGGATGTTAGTCTTGGATTCAATCCAAATTTGACCAGATCAAAGATAGAGGTAAGGCAACAGGGGGCAAGGGCCGCTGAGGAAAACAGGCTGTGCGCTGTGACCCAAAGCTCTAAGAGATGGAAGGAAATTCCACATGGACAACTTGTTCAATACGGCCCTGGCATCTAGGACAGAGGCTTTCAAGCAGATGTCAAAAACCCAGCTCTGTAAATCCTGACTACTGGATGTTATCCAGGGAGCGTTCGCCTGTTATCTGTATCACGCTGTAGACAGAATCTGGCGTTCATGTGAGTATAATTTTAGGCATGAGTTTTCACTTTAACAAGATATGTTGAACTTGTAGCAACTGATACCATCACAGTATCATCACTGAAGGCTTGTTAACTAGAATGTCTGAAGCTCAGTATTGATTATTTCATACTCATGGCCTATAGAAAAAAAAGAGAAATTCAATCAGCAGTGTAAATTCCAAACTTTTAGACAAGAATGGTTATGATTGTAAGTATATATATTATAATCTTATAATTGTTGATGAAAATTTACTGTTGTGCATGCAGTCTTATTTTGTAGAAATAAAAGCAATCCTTAACATTTTTTGCTGTTTTTGTCTTTTCTCTATATTGAAATAAATAAAAAAATTGGAAGTGCTCACCTAAACCAGTTCAGACAAAATGTAAATTTATTGTAAATGTAATATAATTACTGTTATTAAAGTTGTATGCAAAAATTTGAAAAAAACAAAAAGTACACACCCTCTACAGAGAACAAACGTAAACATAGCAGTTTAATTGGAAAGAAGTAAAACATAAAACCTCAAATCTGTCATAATTGTTGTACAGGGTAAATTTTATGGGCTATTTTTTTCCAATATGTTAAATTCAACAAATAAGTGTAACATTAATTGCATTAAATATGTGCATAAGTGTCTTCTCTATAGAGGATGTAATAACTTATTTTCACCTAGAAAATGAACAAAACATGTAATTTGACCAGGGGCACTCAATGTTTTGCACACACCTATATGTATTCATATAATTATGAATTATATAAATATATGTAATGTCACAAATACCATAGACATCATACATCTATTAACTAACCACCTCCGTGCTGTTAGATACATTAGCATTTGAAGTTGCTACCCTCTTTACATGCAACACATACACTTGATCTTCATTCATTTAAGTGGTCGTATTGGTCGAGTGCAAGTGTGTGTAAGCCAATTACTGGATGAAAAGGTTTTCAGTCTTTATTTCTCAATGTAAAGACTGCTGTAGTTCAGCAGAGCACATATATTGCATATCTAATGTGTGTGTGTGGACTCCTGCTTTGCACCAATACTCACTCATTAAATGTACACTAAAGACAGAAACAGTGAGCTGGAGACCAAGCGCAGGAAAAAGAAACTGAAACAGGCAACAGAAGCAGACAGGAGGGAGGGCAAAGAAGCTAGATTAACCTCACACTGTGTTTGTTCTTTTTCTTCGTCTTGTTTAACATAAAGCATGGCTGCAAAGGTTTTTACCAGTTGGGTTCACAGGTGGTACCGATCTTGCTGACTGTGTAGCTGCTCCAGCCCAGTACAGGTGGGATGGTCCAGATGAAAGAGAAGGTCCAAACAAACAGCAGGCCCAGTGTTGCATGTTTTCCCCGCAGACGGATGTTTCCCAGGGGCCGACAAATCACAAAGAAGCGCTCAAATGCAAGGATGGCCAGAGACCACAAAGCCACTATACCTGTGCGAGAGAAAGTTTAGCTTTGCTGTGCTGCTTTCAGGTTATAATGAGAAAAGAACCTTCTCCCTAAAAATGCTGACTGGTGGTGTAATGTGTGTGTCTCTGTCTAGTACAGGTGTAGTACAGTACTAATACTGCTAATACTGCACTATTACTAATACAAAGCTAAAATGAAAAAAAATCTTTTATATATATATATATATATATATAGAGAGAGAGAGAGAGAGATATAGATAGATAGATAGATAGATAGATAGATAGATAGATAGATAGATAGATAGATAGATAGATTTCGCTTTTGTCAGAAGAAAACCTCGTATCTCCAAAATGATAATTTTACAGGAGAAGGAAAAAACCTTTACTTTTAATGGAAGTCAATGGAACTCAATGTAAGGCTTTTTTCTAAGTAAATTTGGCCTGTTTCTTTTGGCCCATTCTTCATGAAATGTACACACAATGTAAGGGGCAACAGGCATTTTCAAATTCTGTCAAAACTGAAAAACAAAAATCACAAAAATGGAGATACACGGTTTTCTTCTGACAACAGCGATATATATATATACTAAAACGTAAATCAACCTAGGCTTAATTTACAGGAAAACTGAAAAGTACATTAAAAAAAGAGATTTTTTTATTGATTTTTACAGTAGGTTTTACAGTCTACATACAAGAACAAACATTCACAGACATACATATTTCTGAATAAAAAAATTTGATGTTCTCAGCAACACATACGATTGACATACTCATTCTCTTCACTTTTTTATAAACAAAACAGAAAGAAGGAGTTGGAGAACAAAGTTGTCCATTTACTGAATTGGGTTAAAAAAGCAAAAAACAGTCTAGAATGGATGTCTGATCACTCTTCCTATGAAAGATGGAGTTTAGATCTGATGGAAAATCATCATCTATGTGTCACTGGATGAAATGCCTCTGGAAAACTGCACTTTTTTTGCTTTTCGAGTATGGAAAATATGACGTTTAGATGATTTATGCAGGGTGAATTTATTTTTAAATATGGTGAATACATTTTCAGCCAGCCTGTTTAACTTGTAAATATATCTATTAATCAAATTTGCATGGCCTAGGCAGAAAGTTCTCATCTCCAGAATGACACTTCAGTGCTTAAAGCAATATTGGATTGGCTGGAGTTTACTGAAAGCACTATGTGTTTCATACTGAGCAGTTAAAACAAAAAACTAATGGATTTTACTTGCAAAAGAGTCTGCTCAGTCAAGCAAGTTTACATTTTTGTGCAAAATGACAAAACATACACTTGGAGGTGCAAGCACACACAGATCAGGCTTTTTGCATATGTAAAAGGATGACTTCTGAGCGCTCTAAATTTGGACACTGACACCACCACTGTTTTGATAATTTGATCATTTTCAGTTCACTGGGTGATCTGCCTGCAGGCAAGTTGATGTGATTCCTAATGATTATTGACTGTGCCACAAGAATCAGGGATGCTGCTAATTGTGCTGAAGGAATCAGAGGGAAGCGATCTAAGAATTTACGGTTGGATTTGTAGTTTTTTCTACAGAAGGCCAGGAGTCTGCAATACTAATGCATAACCCAACTGAGACGGTTTCTCTGGTGCCTTTTTACACCACATAAGTACAGAGATTTCATCTCAAGAATGAAAAAAGTAAGCCAGCGTCAAAGATTACTAATAAAATAAGCTAGTGCTCACATTCTAACAGAATCAAACTAGATTCAGTGATATAAGTTAACTGAACTTGTTCGACAACATGAGTACTGACAGGGCTTTTCTGAGCAAAGAAAGAGTTTGAGGTACTGAAGAGGAGATCATCTTTAAAGATATCAATTGACAGATCAGATATCAACCCATGCTGTGCTGTTTCAACTTCCCACTCTGTCCTTTGATACCTGCCAAATCCTGCTTACTGGTGGGACTTCCCACTTCCAAAGTTCTTAATAAACTACAGCTGCTTTATTCTTCATATGTCTTTGTTTGCGCTGTCACTTGTGGTATTATAGTCCTGAGAGTAAAAATACAGCATTACACAGTCCATACATTCAACCATTCAGTACCGCTAATGCATGTACTTTATCAGAAGACACTCTTAGAGGAAAAAACTTACAGCCAAGCTAGCTTTATTTAACTATTGATGTGAAGGGCTGATTTGCTGTTCAAGTGGGTTCAGGTTAAAAATATGAGACAACAAAAAACTTGGATAGGAGTAGATTTTGAGTGACTGCATGACCTGGTTATGTAACGTCAGGGCAATAGCAGAAGTATAAACACACCTTTTCATAGAGGTTCTGTAAAATAAAGAACTATGGATTTCTCAAACATCTCAAACTAATGCAATGTAATGCCAGGACACAGTGTAAGTGGAGGTTAATCTTAGTTCTTCTGCACACCATCTAGGCACTTGAGCATGTGCTGAAGGTGCTGAGGTAAAGTATCACTCTTACTGCCACTGCCTCAAGAGCCTTTAATCATGATCATTATCGTTTCTATATTTGCATAGTTCTTTAGACTGCAGAAATCCCACAGAAAACATTCAGCAGGCACAGCCTGAGTGTGTTCTTACAGAGCAGAAAGGTGTAATCAAGCTTTTCAGAAAGTTCAATAAAATCAGACTGTAAACTCCATTTTCAGAGTGCTGAGTGACATCTACACTTTCTTTCACTTCTAATTTGTCTCAGAATCCTTGAAAAATACTCTGCAAAGTTTGAGGATGATGTTTGGGCTCCAGAAAGCATCCTAAAAATTATTCACAGGTTCAACCACCTCCACTAGAACCTTGTTCAGTTGAAAAAACAGTGACACTTTATTTGGAGTGGTGCCGATGAAACAAACAATCAGCAGACTCTCAGTAACACGTCAAAAACATATGAAGGTTAGGATTAGGGCCAGGCTGAGGGTTAAGGTTTAGGTTTTGGGTAGAGGTTAAGGTTAGGATTAATATTAGGGCCAGGGTGAGGGTTAGGATTAGGTTTTGGGTTGAGTTTAAATTTAGGGTTAGGATTAGGGTCAGAGTTAGGGTTAGGTTTTGCGTAAGGTTGGGTAAGATTAGGTTTTGCGTAATGGAAGTAACATATTAACAATACATCTACTTAACATAGGTAATTTATCAACAGAACATCTACAAGATATTTACTCCGAAGTATTCAGATGCTTCACTACTGCTACTTCACTGATATGTTGTTGATGTGTCACTGATAATCTGTTAAGAGTTTATTAATCATCTAGGACCACTCCAAATAAAGTTTAAATAAAAACCTGATCCAGGATCAGCGGGCTAGTTTTAAGAGAACATCATCCATTTAGCTATTGCTCTGAAAGTTGCACTCTCACTTCCAAAGTGTATTCAAAGTGGCCATAAAACCTCACTCACCGAAAAAAGTGACAGCGAAGCCCTCCAGCACGCACGCCCACGTCCCCAGGAAGAAGTAGCCGTGGTAATTGGTGACCACACTGATGGTCCCCCCGACCAGGGACACGAGAAAGTCGGCCAGAGACAGATTAACAATGATGTAATTGAGGGGCTGCCGAAGCTGTTTGAACTTGTAGGTGACGAGCATGACCAGAAAGTTCTCTGACAGCGAGAGCGCCGTGACCAGGAACATCCATGCGGCGAGCACTTTGAAGTTCCACGGCGCGATGGACCGCAAGGGTCCCGCAAACGGGTCTTCTGGCTGGAACACATCGGCCACCTCTGTGTAGCTGACACCGTTTACTGCCGTGCCGAATGCATCCATGCCCCAAATGAACACTTCGTTATGAGTGGACTAGAGAACAATGTGCACTTGGGTTGCAGGACTAACTTGCAGTACTTCAGAGAGCCACGCGCGCAGCGTCCTCGCGAAAACTACGGATCCAGACGATGTGTGGTGTTCGACGCATCACTTAACAAAGGCAGCTTTATTGCAATGCACAGGTTGTGAACTTGTTTATTCTTGGTGGTCGCCGCGGCTCCAGTGTCTGTGTAATCCATGTGTGTGCAGTCCTCAGTTTATGGGGGGCTTAGGGGATGCGGCAGAGTGCAGACAGCCGGTCCCATTGACTTGTTAAATTGTGCCCTGCGCGAGCTGGAGTCTGAGCTGAGGTCGCCAGCGGTTATGTTGACTGTTGCGCGTCTCCCACGGCTTTATATAGGCTGTTAACGGGCGACCACGCGACAGCCCCATCATCACTCGTGCCCTCGAGGAACAGCGACGTACTCACCCTCCTCTCCACTGGCTGTGGGCTTCGAGGAAAGCCTGGACGGAGTGACTGCGCGCAGAGTGAGTGCGTAACGGGGGGCTCACACTGCACGCAACTTCGCACAGAGAGCACGCAGAATGCGATCTCAGAGTGCATGCAGGAGGCATCAGCTCAGAGTCCGTGCAACTATATAGGCAGTGCATCCAACTCCTCGAAGAGTTCATGCAGACTGAATGCAACTACGAACAGACACTTGTTGTTTGTGCACTTTTTTAAATTCATCCTCTCACGAGCTCACACACCGGCCGGCCACTTCATCAAGCTGTTTCTACACTTGTCCATTTATCATGTCCACTTACCACATAGGTGCACTTTGTAGTGCTACGGACACAAAGAGCACCTAATTAGAATCAATTAGTCTGTAATTAGAACTGCTTTGTACATGTAGGACCACCACAGAGCAGGCATTATTTGGGTGGCGGGTCCTTCTCATCACTGCAGTGACACTGACGTGGTGGTGGTGTGTTAGTGAGTGTTGTGCTGGTATGAGTGGATCAGACACAGTAGTTCTGCTGGAGTCTATCATAACACCTCAGTGTCACTGCCGGACTGAGAATAGCCCATCAATCAAAAATGTCCAACTAACAGCATCCTGTGGGCAGCGTCCTCTGACTACTGATGAAGGACTAGAGGATGACCAACACAAACTGTGCAGCAGCAGATGAGCTATCGTCTCTGACTTTACATCTACAAGTTGGACCAACAAAGTAGGGGTGTCTAATAGAGTGGACAGTGAGTGGGCACAGTGTTTAAAAACTCCAGCAGCACTGCTGTGTCTGGTCCACTCACACCAGTACAAATAATACCTGCACTACCTGTTGCTTCTGTGGGGTCCTGACCACTGAATAACAGGGTAAAAGGGAGCTTACGAAGTATTCAGAGAAACAGATGGGCTACAATCTATACAAAGTGCACTTATACTTGTAAGTGGAGCTAATAAACTGGACAATTAGGTGAGATGCAAGGAGGTGTACTTAATCAAGTGGTCGTCCGGTATATATGGGAGTGGTTTAGTGAAATAAATGGTTTATGGCTTAGAATAATGGCTCATTAACTTTGTGCTTCTTTGACTGCAGCACGTGGAGTTTTAAACCCATTTGGCTTGTTGAAGTGCAACATGCAGTGGCTCTTACTCTGAATTATGCGACATTGAAAGGAAAATCAATTCAGCTTTTATGAGTTTCAGTTAAACAACAACCTATGGATTGAAATGATGAAGAAAAAAGCTGAGCATAGCCGTGAGATGATTTTATTCCCACCGGTTACAGAGCAGTCTCACTGCTGGGGAACACAAGTGTGGTGTTAATGGCAGGTCGATTCTGGAGTTCACAGTGTTTAACCCATGATGTCAAAGAAGGCGATGTAAATACTGTGTTGTGTAATTTGCCTTTTGTCAATTTGTCAATTTGTCAGTTGTCAATGCTGAGGCATCTTTCCTGCAAGAGTTGACAAAACTATATATATATATATATATATACTATATATATAGTACATATATACATGTGTGTGTGTGTGTGTGTGTGTGTGTGTGAAATAAAGGAAAGCTGACTCAACAGTCCTCATTTTTCTCACAGCAAGGTGTGAAGACTGGTAAAGTTTCAAAATGTGCCTTTCACTCACCCATTTAATTGTATTCTTTATGTTATGTCACAAAAACCTATACACTTATATATATCTGCATATTCAGCCTATGTTTGTTATCCTCATCCATTCATGTTCATGTTATAAGGAGCACTTCAGCTCAGACTGAGAATTGAACAATGTACAACACAGGGCACTTCAGAACAAAGCTTATTTACATATACCACTCTGAAAGACACAATAGCAAAAACAGCCTGATTCATTCAAAGGGATATTGTGAGGTTGGAAAATAGTCATATAAAATGAATTATAACATTTATAACATCATATATAGACCTGAAATGTAGGATATGGGCCTGTTAAGGAGTTGCTTTCCTTTTGCACAAATAATCCTCAGCTGAGGCTGATCAGGGCTACAGTACTAATGACCTCTCACAGAACATAACAAGTTACACCTCCTGGCTGGACTCTTTCTTTAGCCTCTTGGCATGATGCAGTGTAACTGCTTATGGACCAGATTTGCTCTAATATGTTCACATCTTTTTGATCCTATTGTTACATCACCAGGGGCCCAATGACCCACATGCAGATTTGGGTCATACGACCAATGTAACAGAAGTACTGTTTGAACAGGGCACAAAGCCTCCAACTCACTGCATCATACAGCAGGTCTGACACTTCAACAAGTGACCTGCCATTGGGCAGGGTAGAGTGTCACTTTTTCACTCTGTAAGTAAGTATTCCTCTGCTCTTTTTGACCTGTAGTGGATCGAATCTGCCACTGAAAACTTGGACATTTGTACAGTTTTGTTCTCAGCCACTTCCTACCATTATGTTAATGATGGTACTGAAAGTCGCAATGTGTGTTTCATTCAAATAGGCCTTCCAGTCTACTTTAAAATGTAAGACTCTTATTTTAGCAAAGCAAGTAGAAATATGCAAGTTACAGGATGCAGGAAACAGAGTAAAATACAAATACTGCAACTACTGCTTGTCTAATGCTGCTTTTTCAGGAATTAGAAGGTAGTGGAACCAAAATTGAATGGTGGGAAAACTTTTCACTTATGGTTGTTTCATCTATATGAGCTTTTTGGTCAAATTATTTAATTAATGTATACATTAATTCAGCTCCTCAAACTGTAAACAAAAGCTCCTGCCCGTCTTTGTGAGTGAATGTTTAATTACCACTTGGTACAATGAAGAATAAAAATAAGAATAATTAATAGTAAACAACTCATTTATAAGTACAGTCATAACTACCTTTTTTGGTCAAATATAGTGTAACACTCACATATTTAAAGAGTGGAAGAGCTTAAAAAGATGTAAGATTTTTACACTTAGCATAAAGGCTAATGCAGTTCCCACTAGTTATATTGCTTTTGAATTTTTTTTTACCAGACTACAGAATAATAGGAGACTATAGAATGGAGCAGCCTGTCGATGCAATGCAGCGTCCCCAATCTGTCAGGATACATGTGGTGGGGGTCTTAGTTTTACTTTTGCCTGCAGATAATTCATCTTCTGAAGCCTGGAGGTCTCTCAGAAACACAGGTTATTATAAAGCACAACGCAGCCTACAGACCCACTGATTCAGCATCATGAAAATGTAAGACTTAATAGTAATGGTGTGCCTCTCAGTGAAAGGGAGACAGATACAGATAAAGGGAAAGTCACACACCTCAGTGATGTTATGATTGCGTTCAGAATGTTTACACTTATACTGACCTATAGACAAGAAACTAAAAAAACTATTTGGCACCAACCCATAATTGGTCCGCATTGAACTCCGGCCTGGCTAAAATTGCAGGTCCCAGTTTTCTTCTAAGTGAGCCCTGCTTCACTGCTGGTGGGAATGCATGATGGGCCAGAGAGAGAATTCAACACCTCAGTATGCTTTTCTCAGTGTATGTCAGCACTGTACTCCTGTATAACCTGACTGTTGTAACATTTTACTCTTTACAAACGCTCATATTGTTCTTGCAGCTTGAGCTGCTGCTGATAACAGCAGAGCAATAAAAACAGAAATGATATGCATTTGACTTTGGCACATGAATCTCAAAGCGTAGTTTTGGCCAACCTTCAGCGACCTGATTGGTCACATTCAAATGGGTAAACCAATCATAAAGAAGCAGATATCAAGTAAGGTTTATTATTATTGCTTTGATTGCTTTTTTCTGTTTTTCTGTTTTCATGGTGTCAAATGTTAGAGTAACTGAGCACTTGTACCCCTGCAAAATGTCTGACCAGTGACCGAACACCCACATGTGTAATTTGGTGCACCTACAGTGTGAAACCAACCAAAACAAACTGAAAAACACAAACTCTGCGGACAATAGAAATGCGAAACGAACTTGATATGTGTGACCAAGAGTGCAAGGCAATGCTCTGAGATAAGTTTGTGCCACAGATTAATTATTTATTTATTTTTTAAAATATGGAGCAAGGATGTGCATCTCAAAATAAAAAATTTATTTTGTTGCCAATACATAAATATACCTTTCAAAAAGACAAAATATCAGTTATTTAAACCAACAGACATAAGATATCATCTTTTTCTTCAAGTTTAAAATTTCCACAACACAGTATGTCTTGCTTTAAACATCAAAAGTGGAAAGATATAACCTTATAAAAAGTAGAATCAACTTTATTCCTTTATTTAAAAAAAAAGAAAAAAAAACACACTAACCAACATCAGCTAAGGACAAAGCTCAAGCGTAGGAGGCTACCTGCGGGGGAGAATTAAAAGCTCTACCACATCATAAGTTAGGTGTCACTCCAAACACACACACACTCAAATCATACAAAGTAAAGCAAAGAAAAAGGAAAAAAAAAACACAATTACACAACTAAGCAAAGAACCCAGTGCAATGATGAGCTGTCTAAGCTACAGCCACCCACTGCAAGCCACTGACCA